CTCCTTCGCCTCGCGGGCTTCACGACGGGGAGCGTCGTTCCTCCTGTACTGTGCCAGTCTCCCCCCTTTGATGAGGGTTTCAATGGCGTCCTTCAGGTGGACGCAATCCTCTGTCAAGTGACCATGACTCCTATGGTACTGACAGTATTTGTTTTTGTCTACTCCTGGCTTGGCAGGAGCTGGTCGGGGGCGCTTGACGCCACCGTCTTTAAAATCTGTGCTTGCACACTCCGCCAGAATACGCTCGCGGGAAGCCGTGAGCGGAGTGTACTCAGTAAACCGGCCAGAGGGGCCCCTTTGTTCCCGGACCTCCCGGGGTCTGTCTTCCTTCCTCTTCTCTCCGGTGCGTCGGGGAGGAGGGTCTTGTCTCGAGCTGCTTCCATGGTTGCGGGCCCTGGAGTCTCGTGCCCTGTTGGCAGCTTCTCTCTCCTCGTAGTCCATATATGCTCGAGCTTTGTCGAGGAGAGCATCGAAAGTTGCAGGTGGCTCAATGCCCACAGCTTTCCTGAATTCTGTGCCGGGGAGGAGGCCCCTCTCCAGCAAATACCTCTTCATATGGTCCGCGCAGGGGACCTGTATTGCTTCCCGGTTGAAGCGGTTGATGAATTCCCTCAAGGTCTCATCATGTCTTTGAATGATGGCCTCGAGGGCTGCCTCTGTCTTCGGGTGGCGACGAGAAGCCGTGAAGGAACTGATGAACTGATTCTTCAAGTTCCGCCACGAGGTGATGGAGCCCGGGGCGAGTCCCTTGTACCAGTCCATGGCCGCCTTCCTGAGAGTTGTTGGGAAGAGGCGGCACTTGATGGGCCCCCCGACATTGTGATAGTGGAGCATGGCTTCGAACCCGTCAATGTGGTCGACTGGGTCCGCCACTCCATCATACTCCTTTAGGTGTGGGGGCTTCTCCATGCCCGGGGGGATAGGTGCGTCCATGATTGCCTGCGACAGGGGACCGCGGGGGTCGTCCTCGTCGCTCCTTTCTGGAGAAAGAGAAGGGGGCTCCTGTAGTGATGTCTGGCACGCTGGTCGTGCTGAGACTCCCTCGAGCGTGATGCTCGGTGGGTGAAGGTCACACGCCCGTCTCTGTTGTGCCTCCTGTCGTGCCTTGACGGGTCGCGACTGGGCTCTTCGGCAGGGATGACGGGCTGTCTTTCATACTGGGGCCGCCTCTGCCTTGGTGGGGGAGAGGGGCTCCTAGAGTTCTCCCTGTGATGTCTCCGCGGGGGAGTAGGGTGTCGAACTTCTTCGACCCGAGGAGGTGGAGATGGTGGCCTTTGATGTCTCCTCGGGGGGCGTCGATCATGTTCAAGTGCCCTTAGTCTTTCTCCTTGGGCGAACAGGAGATAGTTCGTCTGGTTGATGGCCGCGAACAGTGCCTGAGTCGTGGCATCTGCCCCGGCGGGGACTTGGACTTCATAGAACCGGGCGGCTTGGCGATAGGCGAGAGCCTCCGGGTCGTCCTCGAGTCTTGGAGGAGTTGTCGAGGAGGACGCGGTGTTCCCGTCCCTGCGGGTGGAAGGTCCAGGGGCGGTTGTCACGGGGACGGTATTGTGGCCGGCACCACTGGGAATGTCCAGCTGCCCATTCTTGTCCGCGGGACCGTTGTTGGCGTCGAGGACGCGGGTGTGTTGTTCTTCACGAGTTGGAGAGGCCATGACAGTGAATGGATTGAGCTTTGGTCTTTGAAACTGTTCGTTAAACGGGGAAGCTTTTTCCCACAGACGGCGCCACTGATCTGACCTGATCAGAAGGTTTGGACCGTCACGGCTTACTCCGAGCTGAAGGCTTTTTGAACGAGGAGGGGGGGGTACCTGCAAGGCACTCCGATGCTAAAGTCAGTGGGAGTACGAGCAGATAATAGAGTTGAGGTTAGAATGATGAATACCTGACCCTCTGGAAGCAGAGGGTATTTATAGCCCCCAGCGCTGGGCCAAGGTTCCTTCATTGGGCTGGGCGGATTTGGCCCAATGGAGGAACTGCCAGGTTCTACGTGGGTAGTGGGGACCAGCACGTGGTCCCCTCCCTGGATATGCTGCATGAAATGCGGGCGGACGGAGACGCGGTCTTTCCGGAGTATCGTTGGGGCAATGGAGGACTAAGTCTGCCCTAGCAAGTTGGCTCGAGACCATGTCGAGCTGTGCAGCACGGTGCCGAGCCCGACGCCCAGACCTCGAGCTGGATGGCGAGTGTCGAGCTGGAAGCCAGGACATGGAGCTGGACGGCCTGCTGTCGAGCAGGACTTCATCGTGGGGCTGGACACCGAGATGTCGAGGTGGACATCAGGGTGTCGGGCATGGACGTGGCCCCCTTTGCCCGGTGTGGTCCTTAGTGAGTCCCTTTGGATTGGGCCTTAGTAATGCTTTTGGGCCTGTCGGGCCCAGTCCAGAACATTAACCAACTTCAATACTTTATTAATCAACTTTTTACTTTATATTAACGAACTTTATTTTATTATTAAATTATTTTTAATAGCTGACCGTTTATTAACCAACTTCATCACTTCTTTAATTAATTTTTTATATTTCATTAACCAACTTTATTTTACTATTAAAATTTTTTAAAAATTATTTAAAAAAAATATTATTATAATAATATTTTACTGTTCATAACAACATTTTTATTTAAAAATACAATGCTCAAACTCTGTTAGGTGTAAGTATTAGTGTAACATTTTATTGTAAGAATAGCATTACTCAAACATTAATATCCTTAAGAATCACCTATTCTCAAATATTAAGGACACATTAATATCCTTAAGAATCACCTATTCTCAAATATTAATATCCTTAAGAGTCACCAATTCTTGCATTTCTCTAAAACTATGCGCAGATAGAGCTCACTGCCAGGTATCTTTGCCCTCTTTGCACCATTCAACAAATATGCCAAGAGCTCACACCTCTCTTGTCTAAAAGTAAGACTGCATCTACCATATTAGAAAATAATAGGCTGTGGAAAACTCTCATTTGCCCTTTGCTCTAATTCTGCCACCTCAATTAAATGAAAGTAATTTTAGTCTAAATTTTACTTTTTGTAATTAATGATGTCATATTATTCAGTTTTAATTACATAATTATCCTTTTATGCCTTTGCTTGATAGATTTAGATAAAATGATGATGTCACATAGTTCAAATTCAATTTCTTTTTCTCCTTTCTTTTATTCCAATATCAGATTTAATTCAAATTTTTCTTCATTTTTACGTTCTCTCTCTTCCTCTTCTTCTTCCTTCTTTCTCCCATAACCTCTCTCTCTTCCTCTTCCACTTTATTCTCTCTTGTGCTGTCTCATCTTTCTTCCCTCTTCCTTTTCTTTAACACTAACTACAGGGTTCCGTGAGGATTTAGAGAAATCTACGATCAGAGTTTTTCAAGGTAAATATTGAGTTATGAAAGATATTGGATTTACAGAGATTTAAGGTTATATTGATGCTTCCATGATGCATTTAGGGTTCAGTTTATGCCTTCTGATTTTAAGGGTTAAGTTTATGCATTTTGATTTTATGGGTTTCGATGAAGAATCATGATTTTTGAATATTGCCTTTTGGTTTTATGGTTCATTTGTTCTATAACTGCCACAATGGATTCCTGACTTTTTGAATAATATTTATTGTTATGTTTGCAGATACATTATGAAACTACCGGTCCAGAGATATGGAAAGCCACTGATGGGAAAGATGAGAAAGTTGACGCATTTGTTTCTGGGGTAGGTACGGGTGGAACCATAACATGAACTGGGAAAGCCACAGAGGATGTTTTTGTATGCAATAGTTCGTACAACTGGTGTTGCGGAGATCCAGTTCAGATGAACATGCAGAGTTGACATGAATTTTTTCTACTCAAATGAAGAAAAAAATGCTTATTACTGTCATCGTTATGTCCTTAAGTTCCTGATGTTGTATGAACAAATTCTATCGTAGCCCTCGGAGTTACTCATTGCATTTTCTTGATCATAATATGGTATATAAAATGGTTAACTTGATTACTATACTTTTATTATTTGGCAGCCCTGTTGGAGAAAATAAGAGAAGTGGTGAAGTCTATAGACTCTTTGATGTTGGTGGCCAGAGAAATGAGCGGAGAAAATGGATCCATCTTTTTGAAGGAGTTACGACTGTTATATTCTGTGCTGCAATTAGTGAGTACGGCCTGCCATTTGATTTTTGGGCACTTTAATGTAGCATTATGATGAGTTATCTGGTACGTTGAATTTTGGGTGAATTTTTGAATTGTCTGCTACCTGACTCATGAAATGATGCAAGCTTGGTTTAGACTTACTGCTTCATCTTTCGTATGATCAAAACAATGCTGAAAATTTTATATCTAGTGTTAAGTTGAACAATCTTTTGTTTATTTTTGACAGGCTATGGCAATCTTAGGCCAGAAGTTGAAGAAGGAATATGTCAAATCTTAGCTCATATGTGGTTAGATTCTGAGATCTATTCCGGCTCCGGAATTGAAGAAGCATCTTCATCTTCTTCATTGTCACCTTCCTCCACGTCATCAAAGAAGGGTAAACAGTTGGTTTTTGAAAAGGAACTCGGTAAATGTTTTAAACACTGGATCGAGTCAGATAGCTCATAGAGGATAACTAGGCTGTGCTTAAGAATGGACTTAGAAGAATCCTTTACCATATCTGAATCACCAGAAGTTTTCCGTAACGAAATGGTGAGTTGGTTACACTTTTCTCTCTAAATCAAGCATATTTGTTGGCATTATGTGGTGATGAACAATGGACTTCACATGTTTGATAAAATGCCATAATTCAAGTGAGTATTATATCATATTAATATTAATTGTATGGTGATCCTATTCAATATTATAAATATTGTTTTGGTTTTAGGCTTCCAGCTATCACTTTGTTTCTCTATTATGTATGTTTTATATCGAGGTTCTATCTCGCACCCAAAAATGCAAAAGTTGATGGATCTTTTTGTTTTTGTTCTGCAGTCCCTCCAACATATTATATAGGCCTATTCATTTTCAACATTACAGTTCCAGTATCTTATATTTCCTTATAATTGAATGCAATACCAAGTATGACCGACGGATATTCTGGAAGTGATCTTAAGGTTGGGTGTTCTTTACACTGATGTAGTTGGAGTGAAGCAGTTTTCGGCATGTTCAAGGTAAAATCTATAACCATCTTTGATATAACCTGTAACATATATCATTAAAAGTGACAACAATGATTATGTAACATATCTACAAGTACGTACTTTCTTAAGCAATTGACCAATAAGCACATCTTGCAAGTTGTTGTTGCAACTGTTGATAATGATTCTGAAATGGCCTCATCTATAACATGGTGCTTAAATATATTGTTCGGATATTTTCGACATAACTGACCATGCGGTTGTTGCTGCTGCTGAAGAATGTCAAAGGAGTTTAATTTGAGGACTGTTATAAAATTGATATACAGGTCTAGAAATTTGATATTACTGTTAGCAATTAGAGTTTATTCGACTAAATTGCTACTGTAGAATGATTTGATTATAACAGGAAGTTACTGAGACAAATAAAGATGTTCCTGCTGCACCATGGGAAATTGTTGGTATGTTACAGCATGGCAATTTGTTGGTTTGAGTGTCATTATAAGTGCAGTGCTCACCAGCGGGGCAATTTTTCAAAGGATGAAGAACTATACTGTTAGTTTTCTTCCTTTCGCCGTCGTCGTCGTTGGTGGCCATGTAACGTAACGTTTCTTATTGCTTTGAGTTTCTCACTGTCTGTAGATTGTTTTTGGATAAGTTGTATTGAGTGGCTTTTAGAAGGTTGGGAGGAGCTTTATTTTTAGCAGGTTGGGATGAAACATGATGATTTAGTATTTTAGTTATTAATCAATGGTTTCATATGGATTTGTATTATTATTTTTCCTGCAATTTTGTGGTTTCAATTTTCTTTAATATATAGTGATTGGTTACTAAACAAGACTCCCTGGATTTGTATTATTTATTTTAGCAGGTTGGGTGAAACATGATGATTTCATGGTAACTGCCATTGGTTGCAAACAAGACTTCCCTGTTGTGATTTCACTGTAACTGCTACGGTTATTATGAAACTGCGTCTAATTGAGTTAAATTGATGATATAGTTTCACATACTATCAATTGGATTGAGCTAAATTATGTAGAATGCTTAGAATGACGGTGTGATAGTGGATTCATGGCTGACAATATTCTGCTCCTCTTGCCTTCATAAAACCAATGATATACTTGGATAAAATTAAAAGATTTACATTACATGAAATGTCTATTAACTAATTCAATCTGTCAACCTATAGGATAGCCATCAAAAGGAAAATAATGTGTGAATCACCTTGCATGACAATTGTGGTGAACCACCTCTTCATTTTCACAAATAATATTAGCTTTGCCATTAGCTGCAACAGTTGATTCCTTACCTTCTTCGTGAGCTTCTGCTAAGGGTTCATCCTGTGAAAATATGCATTTCACGCCGGCATGTTTAGTTTATAAGCTTCTTAACTTTTTCTTTATAGGTTTGTATATTTAGTTTATATGTATTTTAGAAAATATGCTTTCAGGAACTATTGTTGATACGAAAATCTGTCACTCAACCGAGTTTGATTTTTATCTATGTAGTTACACCGGCATCCAAGTAAAAGATAGCTAGGTGGTTTCCCGAGGTTGCTATTATGCATGTGGATTAACTGCAGAGAAATTCTGCTGATGTTCTTATGGTGATGGAGTTAGTCTATGCGATGATCAGATTTGACTGGACCTCATAGAAATTCTTTTGGTATATATTATTCTCTCTTTCATTGATGCATGTGTATTGTTTGATGAAATGCCATAGAGGAATTATGTCACGTGGAACACCATGAAGAAATGGTGTGGTAGTTGTGATGGAGTTTACTATAGCTAAGCAATTCTCATTTCTCACTAACATCATTATTATTATGTGTTATGATCATAGCTTCATATGTATTGATTATGATTGCAGGGATTCCTTCTGCAGGATTGCTTAGCATTTTTTATTGAGTATCGTACAGATATTAATGCTATTTTTTTTCCAAGCGATTTTAATTGGCGCTGTGGTTTTTCTTTTAGGTAAAACGTTTATTTCTTCATGAAAAATACTTGATTCTTGATTCAATAATACAAGTGTAGAAAAAAGTATCTGTTAAGATTTTAAATCTCTGATCAAGTATTTTGTGATCTCATGTGGCTATATATGTTTCACTGTTGGTTATCTATCTCAACATTTTTCTGATCTCAACAAGGGACATGTATACTTCTCATCTGAGGCTGACTCTTTGGCAGAAATTCCTGAGAAACTAGCAATATAAGGATGCATTATGCAGTGAAAACATAAATAGCTGCAAATGGTGTTCTTCTGACTCATTGTTGGCATTGACTTCACAAAGAGCAATGCATGTGCTGCAATCATTAGATGAGGCCTAATTTTTTTTGCAAATGCCGGTGATTCTCACTGCATTATATCTAGGAATGGTCAGGTTTCTTCAAAACAGAAGTTAGGATTTTCGATAATGCAGTCTTTGGAGAATTCATATAGAGCTAATAAAGCACGGAAAAAACAAGACACCAAACAAAAACATATATGAACTTCAGAGAAAAATGAAGTATGGTGTGATCTGTGTAATACTGAAGTGTGCTAACATTGGTCAACAGTTTTGAATAAGTGTTTTATTGGTTTATCCTTTCAAAAGTTGAATATTTTCTATCTGTAACCCTTAAAAATTTAAAAATGTATATTGATCTGGATTGGACCTACACTTGCCTTTCAAATGGGAAGTCTAAAAATAGAGTCCAAGTTAGAGATCGTTGGGCAACTCCCCACACAACCGTTGGAGGACATGGCCCATGATTCCACGACAGTCATCTTAAACTGTCCTTTGGGAATTATGGGTCCAATCCTATTCTCGCGGAGCAGTTGATCAGGGGGGAGTCCACTTGTTGGACTCCATACACACGTAAGCTTTGGTAGTTCCTGTTATTGGTCCTCAACGTGGCCCAATAATGGGGACCTTGACCCAGCGCTAGGGACTATAAATACTTTCTCTCCTGAGAGGGTCAGGTATTTAACACTTTCTAACTCTTACACTTGCTTGCTCATTCTGCAACTTACTTTGCCATCAGAGTGTCTTGCAGGTATCCCCCATCTCACTTAACTTCTGTCCGAGTTAGCTGCGACAGTCCATTCTGATTCGGTAAGTTCAGTGGTGCCGTCTGTGGGAAACTTGCTTCCCTGTCTTCCATTTACTCTAGACCAAAGTTAAACAATCCCCGACTGTCACGGCTGATCAGATTGCAGAAAACATGAAAGTCCGTATCATCGACGTCAACAATAACATCGTCGACAATAATGTCGGCCTCGACAACGTCGATACTGCCGGCCACAACACAGCCCCGCCATTAATATGCCCGAGCCTTCTGACTATTAAGACGGAGCAACTGCTTCGTCATCATCACTGTCTCCACGACTCGAAGATGATCAGCCACCTCCCCAGAACTACTAACCCATTCAGTTCCATGAGGTCTCCGTTCCTGCAGGAGCAGACGCCACGACCAGAGCACTGTTAGCGGTGATAAATCAGACCAACTGCCTGATCTTCGCTCAAGGAGAAAGATTGAGGGCGCTCAAAGATGCTCAGAGAGTCCCCAGAAGACACATAAGACCTCAGTCTCCTCCTCCTCGACAAGCAGAGGAACGTCCCAAATCTCCCCCGCAGAGACGTAGTCGGAACATCTCTCGAAGCCCTTCTCCCCGACCAATCGGGCGACACCCCGCATTAGAAAGGGACCAACCCGTTGACACAAGGAGATGCGATCACGGCCCCTCGCATCAAAGAACGAAAACCCCCCTGGAGACAGAAACCGATGAAATAACGAGTGACCATATCGCCCGAGGAACGCTCCGCCCGACCAGGGCCACCATAATCGCCACTACGTCAGATCTCCGTCTCGCTCGCCCGAACGGAGTGACGAGGACGACCCCCGCGGTCCCTTGTCACAAGCCATCATAGAGGCACTCATTTCCCCGGGCATGGAGAAGCCTCTCCAGCTAAAGGAATACGACGGCATAGCCGACCCGGTCGACCATATAGACGAGTTTGAGGCCATTCTACATTATCACAATGTCGGGGGATCAATCAAATGCTGGTTGTTCCCCACGGCTTTGAGGAAAATTGTGATGGACTGGTACAAAAGTCTCGCCCATGGGGTTAATTACGTCTTGGCGAAATCTGAAGAACCAATTCATCACTTCATTCACTGCTTCGCGACGCCACCCAAAGACCGAAGTAGCCCTCGAGGCCATCGTCCAAAGATACGATGAGATCCTGAGGGAATTTATTGATTCGTTCAACCGGGAGGCCATCCAGGTCCCCTGTACCGATCACATGAAGAAATACCTGCTCGAGAGGGGACTCCTCCCGGACACGAAATTCAGAAAGGCCGTAGGCATCGAACCGTCCCGGATATTCGATGCCCTCCTCGAGAAAGCCAGAGCCTACATTGACTACAAGGAGAGGGAAGCGGCCAACAGAGCCCGGGATCTCAGGAATCGCGGATCAACCAATCATCCGCGACAAGACACCGCCCCTCCTCGACGAACTGGTGAGAAAAGAAGGGACGACAAACCTCGAGACCCTCAGAAACAAAGAGGACACTCGGGGAGGTTTACTGAGTACACTCCGCTAACGGCTTCCCGCGAGCGCATCTTAGTGGAGTGCGCGAATACAGATTTCAAGGACGGAGGCGTCAAGCGTCCTCGCCCCGCCCCTGCTAAGCCCAGGGCAGATCGAAGCAAATACTGCCAGTATCACCGGAGTCATGGGCACTTGACTGAAGATTGTGTCCATCTCAAGGATGCTATCGAGACCCTCATAAAAGGGGGGAGACTCGGGCAATATCGGCGCGGCGACGCCCCCCGTCGAGATGCCTGTGAAACAAGGGAAGTAGAGGAGGATGCCCGACCATCTAACGAGTCGGTCCCCATCTAGACTGCATTCTCTGTTACGAGACCGGAGGACTTTTACGTCCCCGAACATATGCAAGAGCCTCTGTCTACGCACAACAGGTGGGAAAACTTCCCCTCTGCCATGGTCATAAATGGTGGGGGGTTTAATGACTTGACAAAATTCAGCAAAGAGGAAGAAGCTAGACGAGTTGGTCGACGCAGCTCCTCCGTAAACGGTGACCTTCGAGAGGGTTAAAGGCATATCAGAGCCGATCACCTTTTACCTCGAGGAACTGCCCGGAGGGGCCCCCAATTCAGCCAACCCTCTTCTGATCAGGGCGAGAATGGCCAACTTCGATGTACATTGCATCCTGGTCGACGAGGGAAGTTCCGTCGATGTGATGTACAACCAACTTTTCAGAACCCTGCAGCTCGACGACTCTCACCTTTCACCATACATGGGATCAGACTTGCAGGGCTTTAATGGCTCGACCTCCGAGCCATGGGGTACATGGAGTTTATGGTCACCTTCAGCTACCCGACAAGTCAAGGTGCGCTTCCTCGTCATTGACTGTCCGTCCCTCTACAACTGCATCCTTGGGAGGCTGACACTAGCAGAGCTGACTGCGGTGCCCTCCACCGTCCATCTGAAGATAAAGTTCTACACAAAGAGGGAACGGGTCGCCACCATTCAAGGCGACCTAGCATCCGCCCAAAGATTCTTCAACGCGGCAGCCAAGGGACAAAGCACAGTCGACATCGGAGCACAACCCGCTAAGAAAGCTGTAACAACACGACCAGAGCCTCAGCAGTCAGAGCCACAACCCATCAGAGCGGAGGTACAAAGGGCTCCTCCAAAAGTCAATTCGATCTCGTTGGACACTCGCTTCGACCAAGACGAACCCTTGAACGGCGAGCAGGAGCTCCTCCGACCAATTCCAAATGGGGACTTCGAGCTTGTCCCTTTTGGTGAAGACCCAAGCAGAGGGGTGAAGATTGGCACAAGACTCCCCGACCTGGAGAGGAAGTAGATCAAGGTCTGCTTGAGGGAGAATGCATATCTGTTCGCGTGGAGCGCTGCAGAGATGCCTCGTCTCGACCCTGAGGTTGCCTTTCATCAACTCGCCATCGATCAAACCGCTAGGGCAGTAGTACAACATAGGCGTAGGCAGTCCCCTGAGAAAACAGAGGCTGCTGGAAAAGCTGTAAAAGACCTCTTAGAGGCAAATTTTATTTCAGAAGCCCGGTATTCAACCTGGCTGTCTAATGTTGTACTCGTTAAGAAAAGTAATGGAAAATGGCGTATGTGTGTTGAATATACCGATCTTAATCGAGCATGCCCCAAAGATGCATTTCCTTTGCCTAATATTGGCATGCTGGTCGACAACTCGGTCGGCTATAAAATTTCATCTTTCATGGACGCCTATTCAGGCTATAACGAAATCTCAATGGCAATGGCCGACAAACACTACACTGCTTTCATGACCAGCTCGGGCAACTATTACTACAACGTAATGCCCTTCGGTCTGAAAAACGCAGGGACAACATATCAACGGATGATGAAAAAAGTCTTTCACAACGAGATCAGAGATATGCTCGAGGTATACATGGACGACATAATCGTCAAATTCTGAGTAAAGACCGACCATGTCGCTCATCTCAGGAAAGTCTTTGCCCAAGCAAGGCAATGTAGAATGAGGTTCAACCCCGAAAAGTGCACCTTCGGAGTTAAGGCGGGAAAGTTCCTCGACTTCTACCTCACAGAACGAGGAATCGAAGCCAACCTCGACAAATGTCGGGAGTTCTCTGACCTCTCTACACTCACTTCGAAAAAATCCATACAAGTCCTGAATGGTATGCTCGCCTCACTCTCCCGTTTCGTCGCAAAATCTGCTCAACACGCCCTACCCCTTTTCAAACTACTGCGCAAGGAAGCAACTTTCGAGTGGACCAATGAATGCGAACATGCCCTTCTCCATCTCAAACAGAGCCTTTCACAATCGCCTGTGCTATCACGATCGGTCGACGAGGAGACATTATTCCTATATCCGACCGTCTTCGTCGAAGCCGTCAGTGCGGCCCTCATTCGTGAGACTCACGACAGCCAAAAACCCGTGTATTTCACGAGCAAAGCGCTTCAAGGGCCCGGGGTCAGATACCAACAAATCGATAATATGGCTTTGGCCCTCATCAACGCAACGAGAAGGCTCAGGCACTATTTCCTCGCACACACGATCGTCGTACGAACAGACCAGCCGGTAAGACAACTGTTAGGTCAACCAGATATGGCCAGACGAATGTTAAAGTGGTCCTTAGAACTCTCGGAATTCGACATCCAGTACGAAAGCAGGAAGGCTCTAAAGGCCCAAGCTCTGTCCGACTTTGTCACCGAGATGACCGCACTCAACCCCCCCCCCCCCCCCCCCTAGGGGAGGAGCACAAGTGGGCCATCTTTGTGGACGGAGCCT